CAGGGGGGGGGGGGATAAGTGGTTTAGGAAGTGGGATTGAGGAGTTTCCTGTGAACGACCGAGGCCAGAGGGAGATAGAGAGGAGGGGGCAGGCTTTAAAACTCTCCTTCCTGTCTCAGACAAGTGGGGGGAAATAAAACACGCTGATGGGTCATTTATTTCCAAAGCACCATTAAGTTATGTCATAAAGACACACACAGGAACACCGGCGTCCGTGAAGACCCAAACAAACACAACGGCTCCTCCTCTCTGCTCTACATATTTTTATTCAACCCCACCAATGAAAACCGATACCAACCAGTCCATATAGATTTTCTTAATCAAACAGTAACAAAGTGCAGACACTACATTAATCTTTATGTATGACAGTGGTATCGACTCGGTTTCTACGAGCCAAAAGAAGCGAGTGAATTAAACGGTGCCAAGGATATTCAGACTGTCTCGCTCTTCTTACCCATTCTGCATTGCGGCAGGATCGTATGTTAACGCCATGCCAGTCTGAAAGACAAAAACACAAATACGTCCAGTTCATTTTAAATTGAAATTATCATGCAGAAAGTACAACAAAAATTATATGCAGACCCCATCAGTGCAAAGAGGACAAGCATACAAGACATGCACTTTATTTTCCATGTAACATTAAAATGTATAACTAATATGGAGCTGTCTATACTATGGCTGGTGCAGTCAAAATGGTGCTGTACTGGTAAAATAAAAGAGAAGAAAACATGACTAACACAATAAAAAAGGTTATATTTCGGTTTTATTAATATTATTTTTTGTTAATATTAATATTTTGTTGCAAGTTTTTGGTCAAATATGCCTCCTATAGGGCAGAGTAGTAATACAGAAGCATGTTACGGCTTTCCTAATCATGCATAATGTAGCCAATTAACCAGTGTTTACACAACGAAAACCATCTTTAGAGATAGGATTCTATGATGTTGTTGAAAAGTTCTGTATCTTTTGTTCAAGTCTTCATCCATGTTTTTATTTCCCAAATTTTTTTACTTTTTTTTTTTTAAAATAATCGACAATGATACTAAGCAGTAGCGTGTTTAATCTTAAAAGTTAGGTCAAAAAGATAACAGAAACCCTCACATCACCCTAAATTACATTCAGTAACAGGACTCCATGAAGCTTTTTAAGCAGATGATTAATATTATAACTATTATTATTAAAGTTTGAGGCACACTCAACCATCTTTAAAAATAAGCACAGCTCAGCCCTTTTTCAAATATGAAAAAAAAATGTTTTACATACTGTATGATAACTACCTCAGAAGTGTTGCTCTCTAAATTTAGTTTCACTTACAGATCATAGATAGTTTTATTTATAGAGACTGTTATAACCAGGCTGAGGCTGTCGATCGATCCCGGACGGATCCCCAAAAATTTGTTGTACATTTATTATAACGAAATCAACATGGTCCCGCCTATGTTTTTTTTGTTGCTGTTGAAAATAAATGAAATAAAACTTCAAATCGACTCAAACAAAAGTGAAACAGCTGATGTGACAACGTGAAAATAAGTGCAGATGAGACAAAGTGAGTTAGTATAGAAGACAACCCTTTTCCATTTTAGTCACATCATGTATTTATGAACAGAGGGGATGATAAAACACCTTCCAGTGAGGAAAGAAGTGATCAGAGAACTGGGTGTGGTAATGGTGTGTGTGTGTGTGTGTGTGTGTGTGTGTGTGTGTGTGTGTGTGTGTGTNGTGTGTGTGTGTGTGTGTGTGTGTGTGTGTGTGTGTGTGTGTGTGTGTGTGTGTGTGTGTGTGTGTGTGTGCAAGGGCCTCCTAGAGTCCAGGAGAGGAACCTGTGCCGCAATCCTTCATCTGCATTCCTGAAGGTTCCCTCCCGGAGGAGAGCTAATCCGATTTCTTTTAAGAGGAGGCTGCTGAGGACGGCAGATTTCATCAGAACACCCCCCACCTCCAACACACACACACACTTTTCTTGCCCTTCCTCTCCTCCACCAACATCTTGTGTTCTCATCCTCTCTCTCTCCCTCTTCGTCCCTCACTCTCTTCATCTTCTAATCTACCCCTGCTCCCCCCTGCACCACCGTTGCCCTTGTTCTTCCTGAGGGCTACCTGAGCTTGCAGTTAAAGGGACAGTGGCTCAGAGAAGCAGAGGGATCAGTGAGGCTGGACGAAGCCCTTGGGAATGAGCAAAAACAGAGAATCCACAGATGTGATGTGAGGCTGCAGGTGTGTGTAGAGTTRAGCTTTTCTCTTTAGTTTGAGTTCATTTAAACAAACTTATCGAGCAGAATGTTTCAGGAACACAAAGAGCTGAACAGTCCCGGTCATTCAGCGGATCTTTGCTTTCAACATCTCATCATTTTCAGCAGTGTGTGGAGGTCTATGGGAATGTATTTGTACTTTCTTTTAAGCTTGTGTGTCAGTGCAAGCCTGTGCAGATGGAAGTGTGTGTGTGTGTTCATGTGTGCTAATGGAAGCAGCAGACATGCGTGCCCGTTTGCTGAGGCTGATGACTCTGATAAATTTCACAGCAGAGACAATCCTGACCTGAGAACCTTCACTGGTGGAGTTTGTCTACTTTTCTGTCACYTTTTTAAAAATACAGTGTTTATAGACCTGAGATGGATCCAGGATGGTTAAAAAGTAATAATATTAAGTACATGGTGTCATGTGCCAATTTTAAACATTTTTGGGAAAAACAAAAAATTATACTAACTCATTTTTGTTTCCGAATTTAGGAATTAGTCATCGACAAACAATAAAACACAAATTAATTTCAGTTTTGCTGTTCAGACAAACAAAATTCAGATCTCATTTTGACTCCCACAGGTTGAAACATTATTTTAATTTTGTAGCTTCTTCTTTTGTTGCAGTAAACAGAACAGAGCGCAGAAGCTTTTTGTGTTTTTTCTTCCCCCAGAAGAATTAAATTTTAATTTTTAAAGAAAGGCACAAGTTTTGAAACTGGGCTGCTGTTCTTAAAACAGAGTAATAGTTTGAATGGAATAAATCATTCACACTAATGACATGATCAATTTGTTTACCATACTTTTTTTTGCATCCATCTTGTTCTGCATCTTATGTGCTATTTCATTAATTTATACATTAAAGATTTCAAATCTTTCATGATATCCAGGCTATGACTTTTGGCATTCCAGCAACACATATATATTTAGATATTTAGCCTTTTTGTCCATTTTTCTCATCAACTGGGCTCCACTTAGCATCTATAAAAGTCTTCACAATATTTATAAACTTTGCTGATTTTTTTGAACTTCTATTAGCTTCTTTCTGCTAATTTAAGCTCCTTATGCTTCTTTCAACTGTTTTCTGCAATTTCAGCTACATTAACTATTTCAGATAATTTTAGCTTTTTCAGCTAAACTCACTGTTTTGTGATATTTCAGCTTCTTACTCTTTAATTCAGCAAATGTGCTCTTTCTGCTTCTTTGTGCTAGAAGGGGATAGAAATGTTTGTAAGACCTAAAATTAGAAGCAGTTTGAG